TCCCCCCCTACTCCCCACTTATTCCCCTCACTTCTCCCCTTCCCCCATACCCCATACCCCATATCAACAAACCCATCCTATCTACAGTATCCATATCCATATCCATATAAAAATAAAAATAAAAAGTGAGAAAAGAGAGAAAACGCCATCTCAAATGCACCAACAAGAACACCCAAAAAGAAAAAAAAAGCCACGGGAACCATCAAAACTCCCATCCCATACGCCCTCCCACTTTTGGTTTCTCTCTCTCGAAAAAAGAAATGCAACACAAAAAGGGTGCATAGCATAGCCAGCTAAGCTGCGTGCTCAACCTCAACAGAATTGAAAGAAGAAAAAAAGAAGATATCAGTCAGTCTAATTATATTTTCTCGGGGTGTGTCTCTCTCTCCTTCTCCCCATACCACACCACCACCTCAAGCTCTTCCCCTGACCCCGTTCATGCAACACCAGAAACGGAACCCCCTCCATATAATACCATGAACCGTAGTTCATAGAGCACAAAACTCCTCCCTGAAATCAAATATGTACGTTCAAATATATGCAAATATGCAACTTCCTCTTCCCCATTCCTATATGTTCAAACCCGACCAGCTATATGCTTGCTTTCGCTCATGACCTTCGCTTCCCACTCGGACTTCCATGCCCCGCATTCTTCGCCCGATCCTTCTGGTCCTTTTCCAGCAAGAGCGTAAGTTGACTCTTGCTCCTCGCCAAAGAGGCCGAGTACTCTGACGTAGAAGGACTAGCAACGTTCTGATCCGGTCTCTTCGCAAAGATATCTGGTTGATATTCGCCAATGGCTCTTCCCTTGCCTTTGTCCTTTGCTGATGTAGAGGGATTCATATTTTCAGATCGCACGTCTTGTGTCGAGTCTCCATGTGTGGTGACTGCAGTTAATGTTGGTGCTATGCTTGCTGAGCTTTTGCTACCTTCTTTCCGGCCCATACCCGACAGTTTTCGTACTAATCCTGGTTGACTGGGTTTCTCGGGACTGCCTCTTTGCGACGCTTTTGAGCCATTGGACTGCGCCTCTTCCTGTAATCTCTGACCGATGATCGAGGATGATGTCGATATGCTGGGAATGACGGATATTAATTCATTCGGACCAACCCCTTCTAGTTCAAGCTCCGGTTCTTCCTGGACCAATTTCTTGGGTGAAACATTCTTTCTCTCTTTGCTTTTCGATCTCTCGTTGCTTTTCGTCCTCTCATTGCTCTTCGATCTCTCACTACTAGTCGACCTCTCAATACTCTTCGACCTAGCCTTTGATCCTGGCTTCGCAGCTGGCGTCCTTAGTGTTGGCGAGAAATTTTCCTGAAATCTCGAAGGTGCTGCCCTCTTGCCACGTGCTACTCCTAATTCTGTAAGTGTTCTCTGAGCGGGAGATTGCAAAGAAGCTGGTGACCCAGTTGCCGAGGATGTGTTGGAGATCTGTGAGACCTGCGACGTTTGCGAGCTTTGTCGCCGAGGCATCACCGGCCGTTTCTTCTTCGTAGCGCTTGTGGCCACAAACGTTGGTTTCGTCGGCTTCTTTCTAGTCGTTGCAGATGACTTCTTGTCCGCCTTCGTATCCTCTGAAGCCAAGGGTGAAGGAGGCTGTACCACTACATGGGCATTGGATGTACTGGATGAAGCTGGCTCGGTCTCGTGTTCGGACTCATGTGGTGAGACGAATCTGGCGGTAGGCCGTGGACCGTTACTTGAAGGACCTCTGGTCTTTTTCAATATCGGATGTGGCATGACCGTTGGTGGCCTGGAGAGATTCGAAGACGAGCTCGTATGGTTCCTGATTGGACGTGGATTAGGTCTTTGAGGAGCGGTGGAAGTTGTTGATTCTGGAGCCAATGGGGTGTTTTTCTTCTATATAGCCATCAAATCAGTACGTATTAGTATTTAGCTGGGCGCAAAGCATGCAAGTATTCATACCACTGGGGTATCTCCTTCATCACGATTTGGGGGACCGCGAAGGGGAACGAAGCTCTGGCCACCGGAGATATTGGCAAAGAGGCGTGCCACGGTAGCACCATCCAAATGACGGCGTCGACTGCCCCATATGCGCCACCAGTAATTTTCTAGACGCTCAGCCGTGGGATCGAGTAAGCGCCGTTTGGTGGTTGTGTATACTGTCAAGAATCAGATTAGACCTCGGGACTAGAAAGGGCGAAGAGGGCTTGTTTTGCGGAGCTACCTTTCCAGATTTTGGCGATGTCTTCCACGCCCACCGGCTCGGATGCAATGCGCTCAATGTTTCCCTCAATCTGATCGGAGTTGACCACAAAGCCCTTGGGCAGGATCCTGGGCTCCGGTTCGGGCTCCATCTTTCAACCACGTAGCGGCGCCAAAGTGGTTGCGGGGGAGCAGCAGCAGCAGCAGCAGCTCCAAGCTGCTGCGGACGAGGTACCTTCTATAGCAAGGGACGATCCATCCAGAAACCTAATTCTGAATCTGCGTGCCAGAGGTCTCGTGTGGTGGCGGTATCGAGAGAGGGAAGGAGCGATCCAAGGAAACGAGCGACCTCGGGGGTGGTACTGGTACTGGTACTGGCACTGGTATACGGAGTAGGTATAGGTATAGGTATAGGTATAGGTATTTTTTGTAGGTGGTGCCTGCACTTTCACTTTCTATGCGGTCTGATGATTTTGGTGTTTCGGCAAGACTTGCACCGAAACTTCAGCTCTGGTGAATATTTGGTTTTCCTGATCCTTTTCTCTCCTCGTCTGGGTGAATGGACCAGAAACGTATGGAATTTGATTCGATTCCTCGGCGTTATTCTTTTGAGGGGGCTGGCTTATGGCTTATGAGGTCGATGGATTTTTAAGCGTCCGCGTCCGCTTGGATGGTTGGACCGTTGGAGTGGGAGATGATGACCAGAATGCTGGGAAGGGCGAATTAGCAATTGGGAAACGGAAACGGAAATCCAGAAGAGAGGTACGTCAGTCTGCCAGGTACGCGGTCGAGAGGTACGTCGGTCTGCCAGGTACGCGGTCGAGAGGTACGTCAGTCTGCCAGGTACGCGGTCGAGAGGTGACGGAGAATTGGGAGATTTGGGATCTGGCGGTCGCAGGTAGAGGCAGAGGCAAGATACGCGGAGTTGGGAGATCAGAGACATTCGATCAGAGACAGGCACCGACAGGCACACCAGCGAGACATCTACATCATATCTGCGCCTTTCCCCCTCCGCTCGCTTGAGCCAGGCACCTGCAGTCTCTCCAGTTCGTCTTGCTCAGGGTTCGGTAGTGGTAGTGTAGTAGTAGTGGTAGTGTGTAGTGGACGGCAGCGGCTACGAACAGGCAACGTACGTACGCTACATTACTTTTTGCTTACTTGATTTTTTGGTCAGGGAAGGATGGTGTTGGTGGTGGAGGCGGAGGCGGAGGCGGCAGCTGATGACCGTCCTGGTGGTACTCGGTACCTGGTTCAACAATCCAGAAGGCAGAAGGCAGTCGAGGGCCAGGAGGAGGGAAGGCCCAGAGGGTGAGAAGGTGGGGGTAGGGAGAGGAGAAGGTACAAGTGAGTGAGCAACGGCAAAGTGAAGAGAGAGGGAGGTGAGGTTGTCGAGGGTGAGGGTGACCGTGAGTGACGGTGCCCGAAGCGGTGGTAGTTAGTCTTCTGCTGGCCTCTGCTTTGGCATCAGATGGATCGCATTCTTCTCGTCAGGCTCTGGCCGTCAGAAAGTGAAGGCTCACTGGGAAGCTTCAAACTCAAATGGTCAGCACGTCCGCAAAACTACACGAGTAGACTACTTCTAGAAGGAGACCCGTGTAAGTAAGTGGGTAACGGCCAGGACGGTGGGACCGACGGGGTCACTCCCAAAGAATCCAGTGGACCAAGGACCTCGGACGTTGCAGGGGCTTTCCGAGGTGCAGCTGTCGAGGCGACGATGGATATCAAGGTGGTGGTGCCGTGCTGTTTACCAGACATTTCACCATCTGGCGCGTTGGGATGATTTCAGCATCTACCTACCAGCACTTCTGCCCCATGTGGTCATTTGTGGTAGACAGTGGTCGTGAGCAGCCTGCCGGATGTGCCCCTTGAGGCTCGAGTGAGAGGTCAATATGCGTGGCTTGCATATGCATCGGGAGTCGATGCTCATATATGATGGCAACAGCTGTTCTGGGTTTGCCACAGCCCGCCTCTGACCTCCCCTCCACTCTCCCCACTCCACGGTCTGCCTCGACGGTATCTGCCTACAGTATCACTTCCGTGGCTCACCGCTTCAAGTACAAATCCGTTGCCTCACCATCTTAAGAGACCTCGCCTGGCAACCTCTGCCAACTCCCTCAGCTCTCAAGACAAGCTCGCTGAAAAAAGATCCAATGATACACATGAACCGCAGCCGACTTGCAGTGGAGGGTTACCCCCGGGGAAATGTCCAAACATCCGTACGGCGTTCACGAGAGAACTGCTGACCACGGATCTCACCAGTCACCTGCGACCGTTGCTTCGGTTCCTGTCAAATCTCCTCTCGTACGTTCACTGCCAATCCTCAAGACTGGATCTGAGGTCAACCGCAACGCCTTCAACTCGACAAGACAACCTGGTGGATGTGGTAGCGCAGTCGTCGTGTGACCACACTCGGGAACAGAGACAAGAACAGAATACCCGGTGGACGTCGTGCTTGCTCCTGTCCCTGAGGGGCTCAGCCATTCCGGTCATCGGGATGCTTTCGTATGGCCATATAAGTCGATACGGTGGTGATGGTGCAGCCCATTTCATCTGAACAATGTCAGTCTTTTCAGCAATGAAGGGTTGTTTCATGGGTGTCTCCGGCCATAACTCCGAAAGATCTCCAGTGCAGTCGTAGCCGTGGCCTTGGCCGTTGCCCACGATCGATCAATGGCGCCTGGAACATCAAAACACGTCGCGCAACTCAAAATCCTACGACTCATTCTGATGGAAGAATCGACATATTACCTACCAGAAACTACCACATCGCCGCCGTCTCTTCTAATCTTCAGCTGCTATCTCACCCTCATGGGCATTGATTGGGACGGGTGGAGGCCAGAGAAAATACACCACCTTGCACTGCATCTCACGATCCCCTCCAAAAACAATCATCTGATGCCTAGGGTCCAATGGCTTCGCCAGCTTCTAGAACGTTGCGCGCCCCTGAGCCCTGCGAGCGGGCACCGCACTTTGGAAGCACCCCCACGTTCTTCTCCAGTCCCATGTTTCTTACCCCCTACTCCTTGCCCGCACTGCAAGGGGCCAACCGGCAGCAGGCCGAACCCCCGAGAAGTCGGTAGGAGTTCCTTTCCTCATCAAGCCGTCGTTTGCAGCCCGTCAGGTTGCACAATCACACCGTCTCGCGTGGCTCGTGATGTTTAGCATATTTACCTTGGAGTGACACCAACATGAAAATCCTCCCAAAAGAAACGATAAGCAATCGAAAGACTGGACAGCAACTCCGAAAAGATAACCAACGACATTCCTCTTTGATCGCAATTGATAAGCAAGAATGCAAGTTTGGAAGATCTGGATGCCGGGGGGCGGAGGCGGGAGAGAAAAAAAGAAAGCACGAAACAACCTCAAGAGGCTACTTACCTACCATGCCGAACTTGCAGGCGTCTACGGAGAATTTTCGTGGGGATTTTCGGAGGAGACGGTCAAGATTGAGGAAGCGTTTCCGCATGCAAGCCCGTTCAACCTCCTTTCTTGTGGGGAATTGGAAAAACTCTTCTTCCTAGCAAGGTTACCAGAATATCGACTTTGGCCTGATTGAAAGTTTTTCTGGACTTTTTGGCGATGTTTTTTGTTTGTCTCATCGGACGTCGGAGACACCGCTGATAACACAGCTCGACAGGATCCTCGAATTTCAAACAAAACAAAACAAAAACAGCCCACATTCTAACACCTAAGGACCGTGTTCAATATTGGGCAGCAAGAGCATATCACGGCAAGATCACGGAAATCCCAATCTCCATTCCTAATCCTAATCCCAACGAAGTAATTCCCGATATCCCCTTTTGAGACGAGAGAAATTAATCAACAGACCGAAATCTACGAAGGTGAGAGTGCTAGGAAAAACAGGCATCAAACAAGCGGTCTGATTTTCTACCGTAGGAGCGGTTTTCCGTGTCCTTCCCTGCGGATATCTAGCTTTCCTATCTTTCCAAGTCTTCTTACAAGACCGCAAATGCCGCGGACAAGGTTTGAAAGGGCAGTTGAAAAGGTAGGATTATCGGCCCCGTAAAAGGTTTGTATGATTTACGACAGGGAATATGTGATCGAATTTTCTTCGTCTCTTTTATAAATACGGAATATTTAGAGCCTATTTAACTACTAACTTTTACTCGTATATATTAGAGTATAATTATAAATATTCAACTATTTTATCCAAGTATAGAAGTATAACTTTCGCGGATTTTATATCTAATAACGTTTACCTGCCTATCTACCTACCTATATCTCCCTTTATATCTCCTTCTATACTATTTCCCTCCCTTTACTAGTTACCCTCTACTAAATAGTTTACCTTGGAAATAATATAACCTTATTATATACCTTATATAGGATTATCTACCTCTTAATTCTAATTCTAGTCCCTCTAATAATACACGAGGGACGATTAAAACTCGTCTCGACGACTATAGGAAACCAGAATCTTAGATTAGTAACTCTACACACACACACACACACATATACACACAAACACATATATAAAACTGTTAACAGTCAAACACTACCACCATTACCACCATCACCCCTAAAAAGACGACACCGCAAAAAACCCCCAAAAATAAAGAGCGGAATAAACATTTCATTTCATTTCGGAAGCATTCATAAACTATGATTAAGTATTTCTCTCTCTGTCATCAGAAAATCATGAGTACCAAACCAGCAAGCCCCGGCCAATCCAGAACCAACATTTCGAAATATGTCCCATCCACTTCCCACGATCCTGTGAGAAGTGGGAGGGCACGGAAAGGACCCCTTCTAGTAACAACATATCTATGAGTGACATTTTTTTTTTCTACACGGCTCCAAGCCAACTCCTCCCGCTACCTTTTCCCACCGCCCCAAACGTACAACCTTGATCCGAAGTTGGATTGGGTTGTTTATGTAACGGTGTAACCACCGTCGACACGGAGATCGGCTCCTGTTTTGAGTTAGTGGAATTGTTTTATGGGTGAGGACTTATGGAAATTGAATTTTTTTTCAGGGTCTCCTCGAAAGGAATGGGTGATGGTGAAGAAGGGAACTGTGAAAGAAATAAAACATACCAGTAACGTAGTTTGAAGCATCAGAGCAGAGATAGGTAACAGCTCCCATCAAGTCCTCTGGCTGACCCATCTTTCCTTGTGGAATAAGAGAGGTCCATTGTTTCTTGAGGTCTGGGTTCTCGTCGAGGATCTTCTTGGTTCTGAAATCTTGTTAGTATAGTTGACAGATTTAAGGGAAGGAAGCTGGGGGCGCTGAATTCAAAGATAAGAGGAATAAGGGCAACATACAAAGCAGTCAGCATATAACCTGGAGAAATACAGTTCACCCTAATCCCAGCATGTGCCCACTCAACCGCCAAACTCGAAGCCAAATGTCTAACCGCCGCCTTAGCAGCATTATAAGGCGCCTGTGGTTGTGGCACATTGACAATGGCTCCAGACATACTACCAATGAAGACCATACTTCCATTGGCCTTGCGTTCCATCAAGTGTTTGGCCACGGCGATTGCGAAGAGATATGTACCATCCACGTTGACGCCCCAGAGCTTGCGTACTCGGTCGATGGGGTAGTTGATTGCTTCGAAGTTCTCGGTGAAACCGGCGGACGTGACGAGATTGTCGATTTTGCCATGTTGTTGGATTACTTCTCCGATTGCGGCGTCGACGGACTCGGGGGAGGAGACGTCGGCGTAGTGAGCAGTTACTTTGGGGACTCTGAGGTGTTTATTAGTTATTGTTGGCTGAGCGAGGGAGGGAAAAGGGGACGTACTGCTCGGCTCCAGGGTTTTCTTTTCGGAATGATGCCATCAATTCTTCAGCTTGCTTTTGGGCTTCCTCCTCTATTCCATAAATCAGTATCAACACCGCTTATTAGAGACCATTGCAGAAACATACTGTTCAAATCCACAATGGCAACATCAGCACCACTAATCACCATAGCTTGACTCATCACCAAACCCAAACCTCTGGCACCACCCGTCACCACACCGACTCTTCCCTCCAGCGAGAAAGAAGCCAGCGTACGCTTGAAATGTAGTCCTCCTCTTCCCTGGACTGGTTTACTAGAAGGCAACTCTTTCTCTATGTATTCGACCTGCACCGAGGAATCAGTTCGTGCAAAGGAACCTTCATGGTCTTCGTCGGATTTCTCTTCTCTTCGCAGCAATGAGCTGGTCTGGAAGGGACGTTGGATTTGGAGGGCGGGAAGGGCGCGTGTAGTGAGGGAGGGAGTTAAGCGTGTTGCTCGGGCGGTTTGACGAAGTAATTGAGTTCGAAACATTATGGGCGGTTGGTTCTTATGGAGGTGAGGATTAGAAAATTTGGGAAGTAGGAATGAGGTCAGGTCTGCTAAAGAATTTGAAATTCTTGGACCTTGCTGAGGAAGTGGCGATGTTCTCTATTGCAATCCTGCAATGCACACTCTTTCTCGAGTATCAAGTAGAAGAGGTGAGAGAACCGTAAATGAATTGGTATGGGAAAGGGAGTGATGGATGGTCAGAGGTTTTTGTGTCTTTTTTCCTCTCTTCCTAGCTGGATCTCAGCTGTTCAGGAGACCCCATGAGTTTTAGCTTGGGGAGCTCCTATTAGGTCAGGTCGCTGTCACCCGACGTCACCTGCGGCTGTCGACTCCACAACTTCACGATAGTGCCCTGTCAACCCAAAAATTTCCCTACTGGGCCTGGCCTTCCCACCGCCGGTATTTTGGCGCCGAAAACTAGTGTCCGTAGGGTGTACTACGATGCACCCCAATGGCATGATGGGATTGAGGGTTGGAGAGGGTGAGAGACGCCAATTGAGAGGAATTCGGTACGACCATTGGCGAAGACAGATTAGACAGATGGTTGGGAATGTCTGATTTGCTGTCGCAGGCCAGAACCAGAACACCGCCATGTCCACCGCCTTACCTCCGTAGAGCTTTGTTTCGGGGTCAAGAAGCGTCTTCCGGATGCTGCTCAGGTCCCCGTTCCCCTAATCGGCGGTGTTGGCTCTTGGGCTGACCATGCTGGGTATATTCGGGTCTGCCCCAGTTTATCCCCCACACTAATCGGGTATCCAGGGATCTAAAAAAGGAGAAAAGTCTGGGCTTGTTTGAATGGCTGCAGGTGTCCGCTGGCCGGTGAAGACGATTGATATGCACGCATTTTGGATATAGCATAAAAATAGCCAAGACTGATTTTATATCCAAAGTAAAAAAGAAGATGCAGATGCATGAAACTGCAGGAAAAGGCAACTTCCCATTTAGCTACTGATTCACCAGTCAAGGACCAAGTACCTACCATTGCCCTTCCAAGTCGATACTTGCACCCATTGGCAACTGACGTAGGCGTGGGTACTGACATATGCACGCCGATTACTCAAGCTCTGAACCACCTGTCCTTCAATACCCATCTCCACCTTCTCCGGATGGTGGACTGTCACACATACTCGGTACTCGATCCCATAAACATAACTCTGATGAAACGGCAGGTTGAACTCATCCAAGAAGTCAAAAACTCGCCCGTTGGTGGTACATTCATGCCCCGACAATAGTTGCAACATAAAGTGTCAAAGAAGTCTCGGCAGTCTATTCTCGGCGCCCACCTGCAACCTTTATCCTCCGATGTCACGTGCGCGAGGAGGGGTGGCGAAGCGTCTCGTCTACGACTATTTGATGACTCTGGACAGCATCCCATCTCCTAAACACCAACTCTTCTCAACAAACACCACCTTCACATTACATCCAAATTTCATCACCCACTAAACTCTGCATCTACACAAACATGCATTTCACGAAGCTTGGAGCTGCCGTGTCCTTGGTTCAACTTGGACAGGCCATTCTTCTACCACCTTCTATCTCATCCGCCGATTCCGAACTCATCAACACCTTACCTTTCGAAGATAACGCCCTAACAGAGGGACGCAAACTAGATTTGGCTTGCCCCGGCTGTCCAGTAATCATCCAAGACCTTCAAGGGCAGGCTCACTATGCCGATAATGAGAATTCCATCCGCCTCGACCTTTCCATCGCTGAGGGAGAGAATGGCATCGACCGACTAGTTGTCAACGGACTTCCCATCTACCCCATGGAACCTATGTCCGATTCCTTCTTGCAACCTCTTACCGCACCTCAACTGATCAAAACCAACGATGATACCTGGACCATGGTCGCTGAGCCAGTATTGGGCTACGCACTAAGTGTTAGACACCCAGTCCACTCCGAACAAGACCAACTCGACCTCGTATCCCTGCACATCGAAATCGTCGAAGTAGCCAACAAATTCCTCAACAGCGTCCCATCCGTCGATATCAAGCTTATCGAGACCCCGTCTGGAAAGTTGATGCTCGGAGATGTTGAGATTCTACCCCCAGCTCCATCCCCATCTGATGGAGGACAGGAATGCACAACTCTCCTTTGTAAATGGCGCGCCATCATCGCGGCCAAACTCAGCAAAGTTAAGGGTATGGGTTGTGGAAGTAAAGCACGTCCAGTGGCCGCAGTCGAAGGACCAAAAGACAACGGTCGTCCACAACCTCCTCATCCTCGTCCTGCTGGTCGTCCTCATGGTCACCACCACCAGAAACACGAATTTGGTCGATTCCTGCGAAACATTGCTGCCCACATTCTCCTTCCTATTTTGGTTGGTGTTGCGGTTGGAATCACAGCCAGTCTTGTTGGTATGTTGGTTGGAAACTTGGTCGTCTTCATCTGGCGTGTTCTCTTCCGTCGTGGTGGACAATACACTAGAGTCCAACAGCATGACATTGTCATTGAGGAAGACTGCCGTGGTGAGAAGAAGGCATTCTTGGAGGTTCAAGGCCCACCACCAACCTATGAATCGGTTGATGACAAGGCATAAAGTATCAAAATTAAAGGGTGAGGGAAATTTTCTGGGTAGGCGTTGAAGGAAGGGAGGAAGGAAAGCGTTTGCGGGAACAAGGCTTTTGAGGGTCTTCATTTTTGTGGGATGGAGTTAGAATATTAAACTGAACTGGCTTCATTGACCTGGGTGGTTTGATGGGTGTCATTTATTTCAAAGACAGATAACATTTCTTTTTTCTCTTTACCTCTGGGTTCCTCTGTCTTGCTCTCTCTCTCTTTTATTCCATTACTTTTTTCTCCTTCTTCGGATTTTTCCCTTGTGTACTTGTAGTGCTTCTCTTTGGGTAGGATGGGAATAAGTTAAGTTAGTCTAGTCTAGTCGAGTCGAGTCCAGTCAAGTTGAACTCGGAGAATGCAATGCGTGATTTCTCCAATTCCCATTCCGTCATGTCGTTTGATTGTTTGTATGTGATTCAATTCGAGGTTTGACTGTGAATTGTTGTTTTGTTTATTGTATGATATGATATGATAGGCTCGTAGTACCTAAGGATCTGGTAAGAATTCCATGTATAGTAAGATGATGGATTATATCTAGCATGATTCATGAAAGGAATTAATTCTCTAGTTCGTGCATCTAGTGTTATTGGCCTGATTGTGAGCTCTTTGAGTAGTTGTGGTAGGGTACTAGTGACTAGCGACTTCTTTTGCCGTTTTTGTGTGTGTTATTGTTATCGTTACTGTTGTATAGAGTAGTATTTTATATATCTAGTGCCTTTCCTTTCCTTTGCTTCCTCTCGTTCCTAGGCACGCTAGGCTGTCTTATTATCATCCTTCATAATACCCCTTCCCCGCCTCCCACCACTCCTACACCTCCACCTCTACGCCTCTACACCTCTACACCTCTCCTTAATAGTAAGGTTATAAGTATCTTTACTTGATTTTGAAGGGTTTGGAGGCTTGGATTTGCTTTGAACTGTACTATACTCACGTATTTGTTTTCTGGGAGATGGAAGGTCTTGGAAGGGGTGGGATTTTGTTTTCTGTTTTCTTGTTTGGTGTTTGTTTTTTGGGGGTTGGGGGAGGGAGGGTTATGGTGGGAATTGAGGGGTGGAGTTGTTGATATGTAGGGTTGAGGGGGATGGGGGATGGAATGGATGGTTCTTTTTTTGTGGGGGGGGGATGGATGGGGATGAGTGAAGGGTCATGATTCAAAACAAAAAATNGTGGAGTTGTTGATATGTAGGGTTGAGGGGGATGGGGGATGGAATGGATGGTTCTTTTTTTGTGGGGGGGGGATGGATGGGGATGAGTGAAGGGTCATGATTCAAAACAAAAAATCAGCATATTAGTCATAAATCATTCCCCCGATTCCATAATTCCATTCCCCATAGAATCTCTCCAAAACCTCCTTCTAAACACCACATTTCTTCCCATCGAATAAGCTCTACCAGTAAAATCCTAGAAAACTCTACAACTCTAGAGGAGGGTTTTCTAACTGTAGGTTTCTGGAGCTTTATAAGGGAGTGCGAAGAAGAGATAGGATGATGGAATTGTACAAGCAGTAAAGTGCTGATAGATATGTATGTGAGAATGGTAATATGGAGGCTCTACTGAGCTGGTAGATTGTTATTTGTAAAATTGTTGTTTATAGACTAATTCTTGGTACTAAGTGGTACTGAATATTAGAGGATTTTTATGAGTCTTTGGACTACCTAGGTGGGGAGACTGAGTCTATATCTAGTATTATGACTTTATTCTACGGTATAGTATGTTAGTAAGAGAGGCGGACATTCCTCTATACACGCTATCAAATGTTCTTATCCCAAAAGTCTGGCACAATTTAGTTAACTGTCCTATTTCACCTAGGGGAATAAGGAGTGAAAAGTATCAATTATTCTAAACTATTTATATAATTGATTTAGTTGTGTGACGTCTTTAGGATAATACTTTTACAACTCAGGGGTGTATGGAGTAATAATTGGATTTCTTAATGTAGAAGTACGTTATATAGATTGTATATTCTAGTTTCTTGTACATGTATGAATAGTATGGGAAATTCATAAGGGGTCCTGGTACGGAATGGGGGATGGATAACGAATCTTGCGGGTCGTTCGAGAGCTGTGCTAAGGGCTTTGGGGGTGGACGTGGGAATGTCGGGCTAAGGTAATGGTAGGATGGTGTATTTGTGGGCTGGGCTGGCGAGGGGGTAAGGTGGGTTGTTGTAGGTAGTTTTGGATTGGGGGAGGGATTTTGGATTGAGGGGGTGGTGGAAGTATGGTAAGCGAGATTATAAAGGGGTTTGGGAGGAACTGCTTTTTTTGTAGGGATATAGGGAGTGGTTTGTGAGGTGTTGGGGAGTATTTGTTCTGGTGTGTGGAATTGATGCAGTTTGTAGGGTCTGGGTTGAATGATTGAATGGTTGGATTGTGTGGGTGAAGTTTTGAATGGATGGATGAATGGATTGGTGTATTAGTGGGTGAGTAGGTGAGTAGGTGTAAAGAGGACGTTGATTCTATTAGAGAAATGGAGTTAGATTAGAAGGAAGATGAGTTAAGTTCCAGGAGGGATTCTGGAGGACTTTTCAGTTCGATTCCTTTGCTTATTACATTAGAAAATATGAAAATTAGCTAGTAGCTGGTTTACAGCGTGGTAAAGTTGAGAAGTTGAGTAGTGGCACCTACTCAACTTAACTCGAGTAGTGAAAATTGCTATTTCGCTCAACTCGAGTACTACTCCAATTTAGTCAAGTAGTTGATTAGTTTTGTTAATACGCTGTCTATTATATACCTCTACAATAGTCTAGTAAGATGAATTAATAAGAAGTGACTTACTACCGCCTTTTCTGTTAGCAGGGAGCTCGCTTACACCATGCTTGGCGAAGAACATCTTTCATCTACGAAACCGCAACTTTTAACGCCAGGCAAACCCCGCCTTTGAAAACAAGCGTCATCTTCTTCTATTTCACCACAATTCTCTTCCAAATTCCAACAATACAAAAACCCTACCTTCAAAACACCTACCCCACTCCCAACCAACGGCCCATCCCCGCCTAAACCTCTACCCCACATCCTCCACTTTCCGCCCACAAACCCACTTTACCATCCCACAAATCCCTTTCGAAAATTCCATAATATGTTGAGTTAAGGCAGAAGCTTCCATCCAATCAGAAACGAACAAATCAGGGGATGTAACTCAGTGGTAGAGTGCCTCGTTTGCATTCCGTATTCCTCCTAATACGGATTATTGACTCGATGAAGTCCTGGTTTCGATCACCAGCTTCTCCATATAAGATTGCTTTTCTTTTTTTCTTCTCCGTAGCAGCGGTTGATTCGCACGTAACTACATTATATCCATCTGAGATAGGAAATACGCCAAGCAACTTCTCATGCAATTAATATATGTGGGGTAGAATGGCCCGGTTGGCAGTTGCTGAGGTTGTGCCGGAAGAGGAAGAAACCAACCGCATATCTTTAGCACTCATGCGTCTCGCTACAGTAAGGGCTTGTGGATGGGCTGTGAGGGCTAAGATGAGGTAGTAGTTGGAGAGTGGGGAAACCAACTGCATACTGTAGGACCTGACTGGCTTGCACTTCCAGGGAATATGATCCGCTGAAGATCGTCCCAGCCCTTGTACTATATACGTGCATGAGGTGGCACAGGACGTAACAGCTAGCATGATTCTAAAGTAGCTGCAATGGTTTTGCGGGGTATGTTGCAACAGTTTTTATGTGTGAACTTTTCATTTTGGAAGGTTCTGAAATCAAGAAACGTCCTTCTAGTTCCCGCTGGGAGCCGTGCCTCCTACACTCATGTGATTGACTAAGGCCACGTATTAAGACTACCTATAAGAACGAGGCCATGCCAACCTATTCTACCATATGATTGATTTATATGATATCGATGTGTTGTGGTAGAAGATTTTATTCGGACAAGTGGAGATGTGCTAGCAGAATATGTTCTGGAAGGTACGTGACCTCCCGCACAAGTTTGAAGAACATGCACGACTTTGTTGATTGCGGATTTTCAGGCGAAATCTCTCTTGAGGCTAAATCCTTGCTGAGGAAGGTTACGAAAGAAAAGACGAGGGTCAGGGGGAACGGGAAGATAATCTGACATTCCGGACCTGCAAGAAGCACGTCACTATCGTATATTGCTGCACTGTGATGCTACTATAATCAGGGGATAGATGGCACAGGAACGTGCGGTTGATCTCTTCACAGGTATCCAATCATCCTGCGGTGACCAAAGGTTGGTCAATTAACCCCCTAGTGAAGGACATCATGGGCCGAAATTGGTAGGTAGCAGCACTCGCACAATTACTTTTGATTGGAATTTTACTACAGTTTGTCGATTGTTACTGTTTTGCTGGAAATATCACATGACCATCCTCGTCCTTAGCCCCTTTTCTATGTGGATTCTTTCATGATCTATTGTCTTGCTAAACCACATTGGGGTATTTGCCCACCCACCTTAAGGTAGTTGCCTACCAACCACGCGGCCTGATACCCTCACGGTCGCACGTTTACCATAGACGCCTCCTACTCGCCTTCCTTTCTCTTCCTTGCTGTCAACGTTTCAGTCTTTCTCGTATGGGAGATATCGACCAGGCGACTTCAAGGTGGATTGTGCCTTAGGTTTTGTATTACTGGCTATTGAAACAGTTAGTTGTTGGTGCTGATCGCCTATGCCTGCGCCTTTGCCTCTTCCTAGCATGATGCAAACCTGGATAAGGCGCAAGTCTCATTATTACCTCCAATTCTCCCACCAATACATTTCATTCTCAACGTCGGTTCCAGGGCAAGATGTGTTTGCATGAGACTTTGGCCTGTAGAAATGAACACTGGCGCTTCCCAGAGCTGGAGGTGCGTCGATAGCCATGGGGCGGTCGTAAATTGATGCATACGATAAGTATCAGGGAGATGACAACTTCCTCTCCGCAACAGTACTTCGAAGGCAGCCAAGTCATTCTTTCGGCTTATACAACTGTAGTCATGTATTCCTCGTACGCTACTGCCGCTGCCATCACGGGCGCCGTTTTCCCTACGCTAGCTACCATGGCTGTTGTACTGAGATTTCGTGCCCGGCATGTAAAACGTCAACGCTATGGTACTGACGACTACATCGCCTTGGCTGCTCTAGTAATATAATCTCCACTCTCTAAGTTGTTTTGGGCAAATGCTAATATCTTAAAATATAGGCATTCGCTATAGCTCTGTGCTGCATTGTTATGTATGGTGCTTTCGTCGCCAGCATAGGTCAGAATCTCACAACCGTAACTCCAAAAGAGTACGAATCATATACAAAGGTTCAGGTCTTTGTCCTTTGGGGAGCTCATGTATTAACCTATTTCTAAAGCACATAATCTACGTCGTACTTTGCGCTTATCCAGCATACGGGCTAGCAAAGATATGTGTGCTTGAATTTTATAAACGCATCTTCATAACTGAGCAATTTCACCGGACCGCAAACATCACGATTGATTTTATTGTGCTATGGACCTTGGCAGCAGAATTTGTAAGTGAGATCAATCGAACAGAAGAGGGACGTAAGACTTCAATGTTAAGAAATTCGCAGACGCAGATGTTTACAGCATTGCCAATCAGCCAAGCCTGGAAGTTCGGAGGCCATTACAATTTGAATTATGGTAATCAAGCCCTAGCATTTGCGTGTTTTGATATTCTCCTCGATGTCATCACTCTTTGTCTTCCATTACCTGTGATCAGCAGTCTTCGATTGGATAAGAGACACAAGGTTAATATTATCGCTATATTTTGGACGGGAATCTTGTAAGTTTTGTTTCTTGGTGAGAAATGTTTATCATACTGACATATAAAACCTAGTTGTATCTTTGCAGCTTCGGTTAGAATATACTTCACCTACGGACTCGGCCATTTTGGAAATAAACAAGCAATATCAGATGAGCATTTTTCATGTAAGTAAACATCTCCTAGTTTCTGCTAATACCTGTGTTTCAAGATGTACCGTTCTGATCATTAAACGTAGACGTCTCAGTAAACGTTCTCATCTGGGGTGAAATTGAGTCTTGTTGTTCCATAATCGCCTCTTGCCTCCCCTCATACGGACCACTTGTGCAAGGCACAAGCCTAGTGAGGAAACTGGGAAGAGGGTTCTCAACAGTGGTAGATTTGTTCAGTAGCCGTCGGGCTCAAGCATCCGGTGCATCCGACGCCTCGATCAAGCGAAACGGTGCGAGTGCTGTCGATGTAGAAAGCGCGCTTGTGAACAACGAGCCAAGGAAGTGGTACCAGTTACAAGAAGGAATAAATGTAACAACGGTGTCGCAAAATCCGAAATTTCAACCAAAAGGGACATCTGCTATCACAGTAGAGCGAACTTTCACTTCGACTGCCGAAGCCAGATAATACTTCTTCAATAGAAGGCAACAATCAAAGTTGTAGAAGCAGACGACATAAATGGTTTTGATAAAGTTGCAGAGATTGACCGGTTAGATAGCGAAGAGAATGGGAATAGACGGTGGAAAACATTGCCTGGGTTATTGGGCACCACCAAATGGAAGATTTGTCCATGGAGATTCTCTTTCCTCCTCCCATCGTTCAGGCCTGAACTCTTCAGCACCGTGCCCCCAAATGTCCGTTCTGCGCTGCAAAGTGTACAGACTAGGAACAATCAAGTCGCCCTCCCGGACGAATATGGGTTTCATGCCCAAGATGCCACCTCCTGTAGGAAGAATCGTGTCGCGCAAGGCTACTCGCTCGTTGGTTCCTAGGTTTGGGCTGAGGCGAAAGGCCTCGTTGATGACGTTTTCCAGATATTTCAGGCTTCTCGCGTCCTTGGGGGAGACCTTTCTAGAACCAAATTTCTGAATTTCCGCTTTTAGTACAGCCCATATCCTTGGATGGCGCGCCAGGTAGAAAAATATATTCGTCAAAGGAACAGCGATCCCTTCGTGCGCCGCTAAGAACCAGTTCAAGACGTGTCAGCGTATTTCAACCACATCTTCGGTCTGGTTCAAGAGACTGTCAACTATCGAGTAGCTGTGTGTCTGGCTGTCTGCAGGCTTACTTTTGGTTTTCAATATCTGCTTATCGACAAACTGGTGAACTGAACAACATGATGACCAGAATTTCGAGTCCGTTGTAAATATATCGTGCGGTGGAAGCAGAATTCGATTAGGAACAAGCTTTTGTGCGTAATGGAAGGCTTCCAGAAACTCTTTATTCGAGCCCTGTGGGGGGGGAGGCTCGGTATCCAAAGATGCTCCAAACAGGAACTCCATGGTAGTGTTGAGAGCCAGATCCTGAAACAAGATTTGCAAATCCGATTCTATTCCATCCTGTGGGATATTACTAAGAAGCCTATCGACGTGGCTTTCGATATTGGCAATCTGTGCTGCTTGGACAGGAGCAAGCCACTGGCAGACGGCAGCACGAAGACCTTTCCATTGTAACCCGTCGCTTGAGATGATTCCTCTCCCCACAATTGGCTGAAGAGGAAAAGCGCGAACTGGACTAACACCAAAATATTCAAAGTCCGTGGTGTAAATAGCTTGCATATTCTCGGGGGAGTTGGTGTATATAAGACGTTTGTGGAACATCCTTGCTTGGAACGTGCTCCCGTAAATATTGAAAAGATTTGTGAAGTACTTGTTTCTGCTCGTTTTCTCCCATCCCTGGAATACTTGGTCGTTGAATATGTCGAACCCAAATACGGGATCTTTCTGAACAATTGACTTGGGTGGCTCGCAGCCGTTTTGATGCATAATCCGGCGGCGTTTGCTGAAGGTCCTTAACCACTCCACTAGCCGAGAGACCAGGAACAATAGAGAAAATGCGCCGGCATAGTACTTGAAAGTAGACATAGCAAAAGTTTGAAGCTTGTATGTCACCGAGTTGACACGTTACTTTTTCGTTACTGGAAGAGAAGTCAGGCAGAGGTTAAAGGACGGTGGAAATATGGGATATCGATCATATATAAGCACAACCCAACAACCAACACAACAGCCAACGCCGACCAACCCCAATTAATCCTAACTAGATACAGAACCATAACTCATTCGGTAGCCTACAGTTGATAGTTTGCCATTCCATTTCCCTCCCTTCACTCTATTCACATGCCACAATCCAACCCCGCCAATCCTCCTTTTTTTCGGTTTCGCCTTGTTCTTTTATTTCCTTTCATAACTTGAAAATCTTTGATCATTTTAGCTACTACGTCCGGCTCGTACGGCATCCTGAATGTACTAAAAGGTCGAATGGGCTTAATACTAATTCACAAATCGTAAATCGTAAACTTGCTCAGGGTTAGGGTTATATGACACTGCTAGAATTGAAGGTAAAACTACTCGATATAAGTAGATAAGCTTAAAATTAACTCGATTACTCCTACTCTTAGATATAACTCGAACGCTCTTTTAACTCTACCAGGTCTACCTACCCCTACCTATACCTAGACTTTACGTACTAACTTATTTTTACGTATATACCCTTACTACCTTTCTACCATTACTATTACCTACACTTACTATCGTTTATACTTACTGTTATATTTTCACTATTATATCCTTACTATCGCGATTACTATTACTATTACTATTATAACAAAAAAAGAGAAGAGAAAGTAAAAGAGAGAGAAAGGATAGGGAAGTAAGAGTAGTAAAAAATTACTAGCGCGATATATACTAGCCTAGCTGTTTTAGAAAGGTAGTATTCAGGGCTAATAATAAGTAACGCGTTTAACTAAAATATTTTCCTACTTCTCTCCTTCTCTCTATTATAGGAGAACAACGTATATATAGGAGGTTTAATATAGTATCTAATAAGTTCGATAGAGGAGAAAGAAAGAATCTTCTCGGGCTTCGCTATAAAGGAGGAGTAGCCCTCTTAGTATAGCTTAGTAAGTATTAGTATAGCTAGTATTATACCTAGGGGCTAACCCCTTATATTACTCCCTTCCTTCTATAAATAATATATTAGAGTCTACCTCTAGGTAAATATCTAAATATATCTATACTTTTAGGTTAACTTTACTTTTAGGTCGACTTTACCTTTACGTTACTCTATATATAACTACCTTAGACTAATATATACCTTCCTAAGAATCGTTTATAGGAAACTATAGTATAAGAACCTTCCTTCGCTCTCTTTTTTCTCTTTCTTTTCTATTTTAACTATAATAATAATAATAATAATTATAGGTTATATATTTTTTTATTTTAGTATTCGCTCATTATTAATTTGTCACGAATCACGTGCTCACGTGATACTTGTCATAATAAAGAGGCGCAACCCTCGACAGGCACATCCAGGTTTCTTATAGCAAATTGGGATGCTTAGACTAGCTAAGCGATCCAAGGATTTCTCGTGTATGTAGTCACGTGATCAATCGCATCGCCTGTATCGACAGTCGATGTTAGTGATAGGAGGTCGACTACATCGACAGGTGATGTAGGCGATGTAGAGAGAACGAAGGTTCTACATAAGACTGGCACGTCTGCCATTAGATAGGAGCTTCGTGCTCAACTTAGTTATCAATCTTATCATATTAGTTTGACATCTTTGATACAAGTAACGAGTTCACTTCCAAGTGAACAACCCGATAGTCTTCTTCTTATCATAGCATACCAACCAGCGAACACCCAGCCAAGTTTAGTTAGCCAGTTTGAGTATTCGTTACTCTAGCCTTACTTCGAGTTCTAGACTCTTTAGTTTGTTATTTTACTATATTTTAACCTATATGATTTACCTCTGTTCGCTTATCGTAATATAACTAGCTAACTAAGTAAACAAATAATTATAAAACAAAATAAACTACTACCTACTCTCCGCTCCTTATATTCTTATAATGTATAGTATTCTATATTTCTATCTATATATAGATATACTCCCTACTCCCTACTCCCTATCCGCCTACTATCCCGTACCTTTTACCTAAATCCCCCTATACACACCTAACTAATCTCCGGCCTCCCTCCTCCCTGGGCCCCGCCCCCGAAACAAGCAAATATATAAAAACCTCCTTGCCCTTGTATCTGCGATATCTTATAATACCTCACAACTTACAACTTACAAAATACCAACCACCTATTGAATTTAATGGTATCTACGTACTTCACTTCACTTCACCTATATAAGCATACACTAGTACGTTATGATATTATTTCTATCTTTTTTGAGGTTTGGAGTTTAAATTTGGAGGTTTAAAGGTTTATAAGGTTGTGATTTATCAGTTGTGAAATTTTGGTTAGTTGAAAGTGATTAAAAGTAGTTGAGAGGGGTGCTAGGTTTAGTTGAGGTGAAGATTGGGAGTTCGTGGAGGGCTGGAGAGTTGGGCGTTGGGCGTTGGGAGTTGTTTGTACGTGAATAGGTAGGTGGGTACGTAGGTGGTTTGTGATCAAGTTCCAAAGTTCTTTTATTACTTGGATTCTGGAAGCGTCCCGCAGAGATCTTTGGTAGTAAAGAGAGAGATATGTCAGTCACTTGCGACCTGATCGAGATTTCGAATCCTCGCTATGACATAGAAACAGAAAACATGATCGGTGACCTTGTTTGAATTTCCAACTCTAACACGTATCATCCTTCGTCCTCGTCTTCCTCCTCACTGACTTCCTCGCCAGCTTCGATGGCTTTTTGACGCCTTTTGGCGGCACTAGCTCTCTTTCTTTCTAATAACTTCTTCAGCCCTTTTGCCACGTTGAAAACACCACCGGTCCCAGAACCACAAGCCGCGCAACTTGGGTCTTTCCTATATCTCTTCAGAGCACACCCTTCGCAGAAGTAATGTCCGCATTTCGTCAGAATCGGATCCTTGTATTTCTCGCGACAGATGATACACGCAAATGGGATGCCCTCGAGTGCCGCATTGTCATCATCTGAGTCTTCCTCAGCCTCTCGATTCGCACTTGCTATCTTGGTCCCTTGGAATTTCTTCCCCTTCGTAACGTTCTCCCATTCTTTATCTAGTTGCCATCCCTGTTTATAATCTTCTCTCGCGTGCAAGAATTTGCAGTTATCTCCAAAGCCGCAGAATCCCGTTTGCTTATAATCCTTACACACATCCGGTGCAAAATCCGTAACCGTGATGGTACGAAGATTCGTCGGCGCCTTCACAGGACCAATTGAACGATTCGGCGCATCGGGATTCTTTTGAATGAACGTCGTCGCGTTGGCAAGACCCGTATACGTTCCATCTGGCGCAACTGAAGGCGCGGCGGCCCTCGTGGTCCCTAACAGATTCTTGGAGGACAAAGCATCGGTCGCATTTTCGTCGTACCAATTGCTTGATTTGGTCGCGTCGTTGGAGCTCTTGATGGTGGTGCTTCGGTCCGCGGTATAATTTGAGGCCGTGAGGTCAGTGTGTGAGACAGGATTTGACCGAGATGAGGCGGTGATGACGCCGGTGTTCTTCTTTCGTCTTTTAATCTTGCGCCCAGATTCGTCTTCGGAGGAGGAGTAGGAATCGCTGTCGGATGCGGGTGGTGGAGTGGCGGCGCGCTTTCGAAAGTTGGATTTGCCTTTGGCTGTGCGCTTTTTGAAGATTGCTACTGGTTGGGCTTCTTCGGATTCCATGGCGGATGGTGTTTGGATATGGGAGTCAAGAATTGCTCTTCAATTCAATGAGGATGAGTCGTCGAGATACAGCCGCTTAGTTGTTGGATTGTGTTGAGGTTGAAGTTGGAGACGAGGCTGAGAGAAGTTGACTTGACAGTGCGCGGCTCGGCTGAGCAAAAGTTGACGCTTACAAATCAGCTTCCGATTGACAGGCCAGGCACAGGCACAAGGCGGCAAGAAGCGGTGGAAGCTTACCAAGTGGAAGCACCAGGTGGAAGGATCTGTCCGAGAGGTCCATTGGTCCATCGGTCCATCGACTCCATTCTTTTACACTTGGCATCACTTCAGAGTGAGTCGGAATATGCAAGGTCCTGCCCCGGAGATACTTTGTGCAGACACCCTCCATCTCACCAAATTGCACCTTCATGCGCTGGAGGATGTTGACAGTGTTGTCACTGTTGTCATCGGTCACTGGGACAATGACCAGCTGTAAGAAAAAGTAAATATGCGCTCCTATTGATTCTCTCCCATCCAATAGGATGCTGTGCTTCAGATGCTAGCTAGAAATAGCGAGCGATCGGGATATGCAGCTCTGCCTTGTAAACATCCCCCCACCCATGCACCAATCAGGTCCCCACTTCCACAAAAACATCCGGACAAGCGAGGCACGCAGGCACGCAGGCACGCAGGAGAAATCGGTGGTACGCAGCAGCAGCGGCAGCCCAGCCCAGCGCAGTGCTGTTTTGATCACGAGTTTCTGTCGCCTCCAACTCTTCTCCTGGCCTTCACTGCAACGCGACCATCCGCTGACGATTGTGCCCGATCGAAAACCCCTCCAACCGCCTGCGACTTTCAGGCGTTGGTGAATTTCTCGAGGTTACGAAGGTTCACGTCACCTGCCTTTCCTTAATATCGCGGATGTGGGTGCGAGAGCCAGGAACGCGCCGCCATCAACCCCCTTAGCTACCGCCCTAGAGCGATCGCGAGAAAATATTTAGCCCGTCAACAACACAACAATACACAAGCGACCCTCCAGGTGCGACCGACTTCCAAAGTGTCTCCTTACACCAAGTCGTACTATTCAGTGCCGATACTTCCTCCCCGTCTACATTCGCGACACAGGCCGACATCCTCATATCCGTCCCGCCAATCTAACTCGGCACTGGAAGAAACTCGTGTTCAAGTGAGGGGAGTCGGAGTAGGGCAGAGACGACGACACCTCTCGAGGTGTCCCAATCCGATATCAACATCATGGCGACTTCATTAGCGATGGACCACCCGTCCTTAGCTTCGCAAGACACACCACAAGATACACAGGACATGGACCCATTTTCAACAGGTTCTTCCGGCTCGAATCACCATCGATTCTCCAATTTCGACACCAAATTGTTTGCCCTAAGCCCTGCCACATCTCCGGAGCAAGCAAAACGCGCATTGGAGGCCCATCTCAAGGAAACGGAAAAGCGGATCGAAAGTGCCTCCAAGCTCGGAAATGACCTTGTGGAACAACGAAAGGCGCTGGAAGAGCGATTGGTAGAGGTCCAAAAGCAACAAAGTGAATCTGAATTATCACCAGAGCTGCGCCAAAAGTTGTCAGACATCGAGAAGGAATACAATGAGGTGGGTCGCGAGAGCGCCAGGGCCTTTTTGCCAAAATCGAGAGTCTCCAGCGCGGAAATGGGTGGATCGCCGTTTGCGAGTGACAAGGTAATGAGCTTCTTGCCTCCAATGTCTCAGATTGGTACTAATGTATACAGCGATCGTTGAGCCCTTCCAAATTCGAGAGCCAAGCTACAAACTCCCCCTCCAAGCTTAGCGTACCTAGTCGCAAGCAACGAAATACGCCATCAAACCGTGTCCATGACATTGAATTTGCCACGGAAATCAGTACTTCCCTGTTATCGCAAGTACGACATCTCCAACAGTTGCTATCCGAAAAGGAAGACGCCTTGAAGACGGTGACACTTGAAAAGTCCAAGTTGGAGGTGGAGGCAGAAGGCTTCAGTCAACGCCTAAGAAGTCTCGATGAGAGCGAGAATCGATACAAGGACGAGAATTGGAATCTGGAAACGCAAATCCACGAGTACATGGCAGCTGCAAAGGAGGCCGCCGAACGGGAAAAGAAATTGAATCAAAGTCTAAACTTGGCCCACTCGGAGAAGAGTGCCGCCCAAAAGGAGCTGGACGAGATCAAATTAACCCACGCGAAGCTTACTGAGGAGCACCTGGCCACCGTAAAGCACCATGACGTTGAAATGGGTAGCGCCAAGCGAGCCATAACAATGGGCGAAAGTGAACGAGGTGCCCTACAACGGAGAATTGAAGAATTGGCAGGTCAAAATACCGAACTCGCAAAAGCTTTTGCGCATCAAAGAGGCAGGCAGGAAGAACTAGAGCCCGTTCGTCAATTGAGCGATGAAGATTTTGCAACAGGTAACGATAGTAATACACCTGAACATTCCCCACCACCTTCTCCTGTCAAGGGTACCCCGCGTCACAGCCTGTTGGAATCGGAGACTCTCAAAAGCTCATTACACCATGCTCATCGAATGATTCAACAATTGAAGGGTAATATTCACAAGGAAAAGACAGAAAAGTTGGAGTTGAAGCGCATGCTGCAAGAAGCTAGAGATGATTTGGACGCCAAGCGAAGCGAGGCTCGGTTGTCAACCGCAGTCAAGAGAAGCCGAAAGGTGGAATCAAGGGATTTCAAGAAGCCAGTAAGACCAGCTGCGTTGGGCGCAGCGAGAAACAGCAGAAGCGATATTCTTATCTTGGATGATCCAAATTGGGAGGACGAGACTGGTCAACCAAGCCCAACCAGAGGCAGAGCCCCCGCACACTCTGTTGCCGGTATACCTTCATCACTCCAAGATATTACCGATACTTTCGAGACAGCAAACGAGACAAGTGATGCTGCTTTTGAAACTGCAAATGAGCGTGGTACAGAGACCGAGGACTTTCAAACTGGTCAAGAGGATATGAGCGGTACCGACGAGTTGACGGAGACTGAAGAACGACCCAAGTCTAGCAGCACTCGATCGAACCCCCTCTCCCTCCACAAGCCAGGAACCCGACTTTCATACCAGAGCACTGCCTCAACCTCTGCTGATGAGGACGATGATTATGATGAAATCAAGACGCCAACTGCTGATAAATACCCACGACTCAAATCCAGAAGCAGCCGACTAAGTAGCAGACGTTCTAGAGCTGGCAGCGAGGACCCTTCTATCCGAGGCAGTCCAGCAGCAAGCCTTGCAAACAGCAGCAGACATGGCACGCCTTCAGCAGCCGGCCAGAGTTTGTTTGCCGAGTTAGGTGACATGAGTGATGATGACTACTCAACAGTTGGAGGCCGCAGTGCGTTTGCTTCGCCAACTGGAACCCCAGGACCATCTAGACCATCGTCGAGACCTTCAACTGCCAAAAATACACCGGCCCATACTTCTTTTATTCCTCCTGTTCCCAAATTGCCAATGGTCGATTCTTCTATGATGACTGAGTCGTGGGAACCAGAGCCAGCGCCATCAACACCAAAGGTTGATTCCTCCATGATGACTGAGCCCGAGGAGACAAGACCACCCACGCCAAATACTGCTGTCCCAATACTGGAGGGTGCCGCTGCAGGAACCGTCGGCGGCTTGCTTGCAGGTGCTTCGATGAGCGAATTGATGGACAAAATGAGAGAGAACCGATCATCAACAGGAACACAGGTTGAAATTGAAACTTCGGATGCTGGAAGTCAATGGCATCGCGAGCTGCCTAAGGACGCATCTCTGCAAACCGAGGGAACCTTCAGACCAGTCTCAGATTATAGCGACATGAGTTCTCAATATGATGATCCCACAGGTATGGAAGAGAAGCTATCTAGCTTCCCATCTCCGCCAGTTTCTCGGGCGGATAGTCCGTTGGTCAGTCGATCAGAAGTCAAGCCGGCTCCTGCGCCATTGACAATTTCTACAATTCACTCTGAGCATGTCGAGCCAATAGAGCCTGTAGAAGTTGAACCCCCAGTCGCTGCTCCAGTCGTTGCTCCAATTATCCCCGAGGTGGCTCCTGCTCCTCCCACTCCGGTCAAGCATGTGCCCGCTCCCTTGGTTTTCTCATCACTTCAATTCGTGGATACGGAACCAATTGAAGCTGTCTCACCACGAACCCCCAAGAGGAATGCTGTTATTATTCCAAGAGATGCGTCTGATAATGACATCTCATACAAGGCGCTAGAAACCAACGATCGACCGGAGTCATCAACACCCAAGGCTGTCGAGAAGAATGAAAAACCAGAACCATCAGCACCTAGAAGAAGCTTGCTTGGTTCTGTATTTGGTTATAAATCAAAAACACCCACGGCCCCTATCATTGCCGAGGACGAGACTCGTCAATCGCCAAGTGCTTCTCCGTCTGCAGAGACACCAGAGTCGCAGCGACCATTCAAGGAATTATCCAGCAATACTAATGAAATATCGCCTAAGAAGGTTCACGTTGAGACAAAAGATGAGAGCTGTCAGACCTCGCTAACTGCCACACAAATTGACGAGATGCTCCGACTGGAGAGAAAGACTTCAGTTATCCTTCAGGATGGTCCGAAATCGCCCACTTCTCCAACTCGAGCTCTTCAATCCGCTCTCAAATCAAGAAAATCACAGGATAGCATCGTTAGCTCAGGCCGACTTTACGATGTCACTGGGGTTGCACCTAAGAGACCTACTAGTGCTACCAGCTCAAGACACGGGTCCATCTCAAGCACCCACCCGCCACTTCCTGCCAACTCAAAGAAGGTTATTGCTGCTGCTGCACAACGTACTGGCTCATCTCAAGGTCCACCTGGAGTACTAGTCACATGCTCTGGGCAAGCAAATGAATCGTCAGTTGGCTCCCCTGTTATTGGTAGCATGGGTCCTCCATTTTTTCCTGCTTCGGCGACTCGCAATGGTTCTATGAGACCTCGTACCCCAAGCTCTCAACCGCCCATGAGCCCATCACTAAAAGATGGTACAACACCACGACCAGTGCACTCGTCTGGTGGTCCGCAATCACCTACTGGAACTGGTGCTAGATCTCGCCGATCATCTGTATCTTCATTTGCATCTGAACTCGAGACTCGATTTAACATTCGAGGAATGCCAATGCCTCAAGGTGTGGATACCAATACCGATCCTAGAATGATAAATGCCATAACACAGACTATGATTGGCGAGTATCTCTGGAAATACACCCGCAAGGCTGGTCGTGGAGCCTTCTCAGAAAATCGACACCGTCGTTACTTCTGGGTACACCCCTACACCAGAACTTTGTACTGGAGTGATCGAGATCCTTCAAGGGAAGCTGGTAGAGCCGAGTTGAAAGCAAAGAGTGTTCCTATTGAAGCAGTAAGGGTTGTCACGGATGATAATCCAATGCCTCCTGGACTTCATCGCAAGAGTTTGATCATCATGACACCTGGCCGAGCTGTCAAGTTCACCGCAACAACTGGCCAGCGTCACGAGACTTGGTTCAACGCTTTATCCTACCTACTTCTCAGAACTGGTGAGGATGCGGTCAACGACACTCATAACCTTGCCAATGATTCTTTGTCGAGAGACGATATCGCAGAATTCAATCCTGGATTTGGCAACAGCGCTTCGCGTCAAGGCCCTGCCTCCCTTTCATCGTACAATAGCCGTACTACCCGTAACGAGTCTCAATCTGGACGCACTTCTAGGAATGCTGCAACCCACACGGGTGGTTCAAGACCAACCATAGGGACTCTTTCCCGTTTGAGTGGTTACATGGTTGGCAGCGCCAAAAGCCGACAGAGTCTCGGTAATGGCACAAGTATCTATGATGCTAGCGAGGTTCATGACAGCGCTGAGGATCTTCGAGAGATGATCGAGCAACAGGATCGTGAGAGTGACAAATTGGAGAACGTTAGAGCTTGCTGTGACGGTATGTTATCACTCCTCGAACATGAAATGTGTTTGCTAATTTGGGATCTAAATAGGCAAACATGATGTTGGCCATCTGCATACTGGTTCACAGAAAGGCCGACAATCTGGTCAAGCTCAAACACTTGGAGCTTCGACTTTAGGACTTATTAGTGCACCAAGAGCCAAGAGCCGGACTAGTGTGATGAGGAGGACGGATTAATTAAGTTTATCTGTTGTTTATTTTACTTGAGCTGGAGCGTTTTTGAGGTTCGTTCGTGGCGCGCGTTGTTGTTGTTTATTACACAATACCCATAATCTTTGGGATTTCCTTGCTTGTTAATCTTTTTTTTTTTACAAAAAAAACTTTTTTTGTTTTTTGCAATTGCAACTGTAACTCACGAAGTTCATGTCTCTCTCTCTCTCTCTCTCTTTCTTTTTTCTTGATTTTCTTTCTTTTCGTTTTGAGGTGGATTTTTTTCTTCGTTGTTGTTGGTTGGTTGGTTGCTAATAGCGCTGATCTACGGAGGGATGTGCTTAATCACTTCATTTTTCTTTGAGGCTCGGGGATTAGGGGGAGGTGGCGGGATTTATTGCGGTTGTTGTGGTGGTGGTTGTTTGTAGGACATAGGACGGAATGGAATGGAATGGAGTGGACGCGAAGTAAAACCACACGATCGAGGGAACCCTCTTAGCTCTTAGTGGGACCCTGACTGATCCGAGATTAATTTTTCCTTTTTTTTCACTACTTTTTTTGTGATATTGTAAATACTGGTACTGGTATGGTATGGTATAGTAGGTAGTTAACTCAAGCCTAATTGACCTGCTTAGTTGTCCCCTTCCCTTCCTTCTCTCTTCTCTTCTTCTTTCCGAGAGTGTAGTCATCGATATTCTTTGGTGGAAGGGACGGAAGAAGGGGATGGAATGGTGGGGGTAAAGGGGATAGATTGGTGGGTGGATTGGTGGATTGTATGTATGTATGTATAATTGTTAGGCTGCTGGCTAATTGATGTGTTGAGTGAGTACCTTGGGATTTTAGTCGTTTGGTGTGTCGGTTTGTTTTCTGTGTTTGTGCTTTGTATGTGATGCTTGTGAATGTTGTGGTTGAGTTGGAGATACTGACTAGGAGGCTAGTGGTATTATTGCCATATTGGGTGGGTTTGTGTTATAGGGGAGGGGGGTTTGTGAGGGGTTTGTGAGATAGTAGGTAGATTCTGAACTGAGTAAAGTCTGAGTAGAGTCTGAGTAGTATGTATTCATTTGGGGATTGTTAGGATGATTCAGGGAGTTGTAGGTTGTTGGGAGTGGGGAGAGTGGGTTAAGAGGAAGAGAGAGAGGGGATGTATGGGTGTGAGTGAGAGGGAGTCTATGATAGTGTTCAAGGGTGAGGTCAAGGGTGGGAAAAGGAAAGGGTACCGTTACTATAAAACTACTTCACTACTTGACTTAACTTGACTCGAGTAGTACTCAATTCAAGTTGATTAAGTATAATTCGGTAATTTTGTTTTATTAAGTAGAGTAGTATATTTTAACTTTCTAGTTATAGTTGTTAAGTCGCTGTATCCCTTACACCGTAACAGGTATACTACCTATAGAAACTTAAGTAATATTACTATCGCTAAACCTAATTAGACCGTGCTAAGTATTCAATGGAATGTCTTGTCAGAAGTACTTGTAGGATAGGATTATGAACGGGAATTGAGTTTGTTAAACATTTGGATAATAATAAGTTAATAGAAATAGATTTAATTTATTAATACCAAGGTTATCTTATAGGAGTTATTATAGAGGCCTTCTTACGCGCTCCTGTTTCCTTGTATGTTTACGTATCTAGAACTAACTCATATCCGTAGAAGTACCTCTAACATGTAATATTATACAGATCCTTCTTACACTTGGTATAATAATATCGACTCCTTAGGCGGGTAGTAACTCAGGTCTAAACTTATAGTTTCGTCATAGCTTATATACCTGTACAAAGCGTACTTTCTTATATATAAAACATGGCTAAGCGTACTATAACCAGCTGAAAGAATGGATATCGATATCAGGGTTCCCGACGACCAGGGGATCGTCGGCTCGAACGTAAATCTTCGTTACTTGCGGATGAACTGTGCGAATCTAATAGACTAACGTTATTGCTAAGAATATTTTCCCACCGGTAGTATACTTGTTACGAAGTAAGGGATACAATGTAACTAAAATACAAGTATAAGAAACTGATATAGGGGTACTCGGCTACGTTTTTATGCGCGAAGTCTGGGCGCGCTATGGGATATTAGACTAACACTACCTGCCTAACTTACGAGTTTATCTGGTACTTAGCGAGTTAAGTTAATTAGTGATTGTTTTTTACTTGGTTTGAGTTAAATAACTTAAATTAGTTAGGTGCTACTACTGTACTTAGCTTAACCACTCGAATTTTCTACGCTGGGAAAGGAGGGTGGGAGTGAGAGAGTAGGGGTTAGAGATAGGGAATGAGGGTATGCTATTGTAGTAAGTGAGATGCAATGTTTGTATATACGCTCAAGGAGAGAATTACTACCTATTTACCACGTATTCCTTTTTGGATGTATATGTAAATGTTAGAAAAACACGATATCTATGAAACCAGATAATGACATAGGAGAATAATCATGTTTAAGATAGCTCTATTCTATAATACATGTGAATGTCTCTCTTCTCGTTTGTCTCCATTCCAGATCTCCCTAAATTCCGTACCTCGCGACCCATGAAGAAAGAAGAGGGAAACAGTAGCTAAGCGAGGCGGAAAGGAGTTGTGGTTTTGCCCATGAGCGCAGTCTAAGGAGATGAGGCCTTCGAGTGCTGCGCCTAAATATCAATAGGGGCCTTTGATGCCCCACGTTTCTTGATGTTTGGGCGTTGGTGAAGTGGTTCGGTCGATGTTGAACGGCGGGTAGTCCGGCGCTTCGCTTGAGGACCAACGCTCTCATGTTGAAAGGCTTTGTCCGGCTCAGGTTTAGCGCTCCGACGCTCCCCGGGGCGCTTAGCACGAGGATTATAAACTCTTGGGAACGGTTTTACCGCCGAGCTCCATTTGGGTACAATCTTCTTCTTAATCCATTTGAGGGTGTTTGTCAGATCTGATTGGGGTTCAGCGCTTCGACGCTGTGACTTCTTCACCGGCCCGTCAAAGGCTTTGCCCGGCTCAGGCTGAGCGCTCCGGCGCTTTGGGACAAAAACTAATGGATACGAAAATGGATTTGCTGCGGTTATCTTCCCGCCTCCCTTGGGTTGAATCTTCTTCTTAACCCATTTGATGGGGTTTTCGGCTGGCTCCGGTTCGGGGTCAGCGCTTCGGCGCTTCGGACCTTTTAGAGCCGGGAAGGAAATCGGTGCCACTCTTGCACCACCCGGGGGTTGAATCTTCTTCTTAATCCATTTAACAACTTTTTTCACCGGCTCGCCAGGCGGGGTCCTTCGCTCCATCATTGCGTTGGATGGACGTTCATCGAGGAGTGGTATTCCAGCAATCAAAGTGGAAAGAAGTGCCGCAGTGGCAACGATGTTAGGAAGCAACATGGTGAAAGTAAACGATTGAGAAGATCGTGAAAGAGACCATAAATGTTATAGTGTAAAACGAGTATCGCTGTGTAAAACGAATTTGAACTTTCGAATAGAAGAAGCCGAAAAAAAGAAAGACTAGAAAGAAGAAAGACAACCACAAAAGTGAAAGGCGTGGAGAGATGGTGAGAAATCAGGAATGAATAGATGTCTTCTTGTTTATATAACCAGACAACGAATATCGAAAAGAATATACGCCCCACTGAAAGTACCAAGTCAATACTGTACCATACCCAAAAAAAGAATATAAAGCAAACCAGCCTTTTTTTCGCATGTAAGCTTGCAGTAACCGCTGCCTATTGGCGCAATAGAGTTAACGGCATTACCATGACAATCCTGTCGGACCCATATTATATCCCCACTTTCCAAGCACTTGAGCTTCTAGAATCGTTCGCTACAGTAAGTCCCGAGAAAGCTTATTTATCTATGGGAGAATTGTAGTAACGGACTGTAAAGGTTACTTGTACTTACCTACCGTTACAACTCGATGTTCAGGTCCAGAATAATTTTTGTACTAAGTGATCAAGGGATTTCTGGCAGCACATTTAGGCCTACAGTAATGAAACTCTGTCACTTAACACAAGATGGATTTTGGCTGACCACTTCACTTGGGATATTTCGGCCAAGCTGGTATTTTTGGCGTAAAGCTTATTTTCGAGAAAGAGCGAAAACTCTTTCACCGGCATCAAACTTGTATTTTGCGTGTCTAGACAACAAGTGTAAATACAACCGGGGTCTCGAGTAGAAAAGCTTTCTCCCACCTCACCCGTAGACTCAAAGACCATGATGCCCTGTCTTAATTCTCATACCTCGTACTATAAATGAAAGCATGAAGAGCTTTTTTACCAAGTATTCCAATTTTAGTATTACCGAAATAGAATGAAGGAGGTGCTTATTTTTATCACGTTTGGGCCCAAAACTGCCACTCGCTGTAGCGGATATCTCCTAGATGCATAGAGGACTACGTAATTTCGAGACAAAGAGATACGAAGTAGCTCGATCTACGAAGTAGAGTTAATTCCTCTTTGACTTAAGACTATTACCCCGTAAATACTCGACAGTAAGGTCCAAACTAGTTGGAGGGTGCGCTCTTTATGCGTGTAATAGATGGCAGTGCTGTGCCTGAAAGTACACTCGATTTGGTAGGATCTACCACCTAATATGATGCATCTTATAGTGTCGCAGGGCAACGAGTTGGTTAATGTTTATATTGGTTTCTATCTGTAGATTCGAGCCAATCAGAATACTCTGGTACCACCCCTTCAAAAACGACGATATCTTGAAATAGCTTCAATTATTAAGTCCGAGCATTTTGTAGGTACTTCATCCCAGGCGAAAGAAGTGTAGATTTTTCAGGGGTTTTTTCCCTGTTGCCGACCTTAGCCACCCTAGAAAACCTACATTTATTTCGCCTGGGACGAAGATTAACGTGCTTGCATGCATAAGGATCGCACCCTCCGACCAGTTCAGGCCTTACTATCGAGCCTTTACGGTACCTTGTAGATGACAAGAATCGAGTTACCCAAAGAGGGTGCACCGTTCAGTCTATCCACCATAAATACGGAATGAATATAGGTGGGTATAATCTACTAGTTTTAATAGATTTATACAGCTTTTGTATAAGGATTTGTTATAGATGGAGTGACCAGCAATTATTACCTTGTTAATGTGGTAGTCGTCTTTACTGGTTCTATTAACCCATTCTTGGGTTAGGGTTTATCAGATAAAGGGAGGGAGGGGTTTGTTACGTCTCGTCTAAATTGCTTCATGGATTAGCATTTGTAAGGGTAGTTAGATCTTCTGTTTCTCGACCATTGAAACTTTTGGTTGTGGTGTTATTTACTTCTCAGGTCTTAACCAAAGGGGCTATCTGTATTGAATTACTGGGTGTCTTTTTGAGAAAGACTGAGTCCTTCTCCATCTGAGAGAAGTTGGAGTTCTTTACTTATAGTTGAGGAATTTAGGACTTCCGTGTTCTGATTCTACGATGATCTGACCAATGAGGAAAATATTTCGAATAATGGAGAACTCGCGATGAGCTGATCGGGTAAAACAGCAGGGTGGGGTTACTTGATCAGCCGAGCTGCAGTTGCAATATAACATCGTGATCTCTTGCTCCTTGTCTTCCCCGCAAAGCCTCACCAAAGAAGTGAGCAAGTTTTCGCAAAATGGAAAACCAACCGTACGAGTACGAACCACTTGACGATAGCACCGACGAGATTCGGCTCATCTCAATCCATCTTGATTCAGATCCGGACAGTTCAATCCAGCTGGACATCATACGAGCAAAGCTTTCAGAAAACCCAGAGTATGAGGCTCTTTCATATATGTGGGGATCAGAGAGAGATCCACATGATGTCTACGTTTCTGGAAAGCGACTTCGAATAGGACACAACTTGTGGATGGCACTGCTACGGCTACGAAATCCTACCAAAGCGAGAGTTGTGTGGGTTGACGCAATTTGTATCGATCAAAATAATACATCGGAACGAAATCACCAGGTTTCTCAGATGTCCAAAATATATCGACAAGCGTCGCGAGTTGTGGTGTGGCTTGGACCGGAGATTCAAAACAGTACTGAAATTAGGTTCCATAATTTGTCTATGATTATTTTTGATTTGCCATGCTGGTGAGTGTTTAAAATATGTTTGACGCTCTGGTCCTAGGCTAACTTTGTTACCAATGAAGGGGCCGACTTTGGGTGATACAGGAGGTTGTATTAGCCAAAGATCTGATTTTTATTACGGCAATATCGAATTGGAATGGGCGTCTTTTGCTGCCCTCGTCAGAAGGGAAATGGCTTCGTACGCAGATCGAGAGAACATTACTAGAAAGACTCCTATGAAACTCATCCAACAAAGGGTCGCTCAAAGTCTTACAAAACACGGGCAAAACCTGAACTTCACAAGTAGCTCAATTGTAGATCTCGCTCTGAGTTTCTCGGAATCAGAATGTCCGGACCGCCGAGATAAAATCTTTGGACTCATGTCTCTGGCAAATGATTGCTGCAAAACACATACACATGTTGATTACTCAATGACTGGCTTAGAGCTATGCCAAAGCGTATTGGATCATTATGCCAATTCACACAGCCCTACCAAAATTATACGAAGACTAGAAGTCGTAATTGGCTTGTACTCCACGCTCATGCGTCAAAGTTATCACGAGACAATTTTCGAAAAGGAGGTACCTGTGCTTGATTATATAGACTTCTTTGACCGCGATTTCGGATCAATTTCCCCACCTTATACCCCTAGGCGGTTAGTGGAAAGAATCGGCTGGACAGAATTTATTCCCTCTTCACAGTTTCCTCAGCGAGCCCACTTTTCCATCAACAAACAAAGCTGGTCAGAGGTAGCTTATTTAACGTCAGTTCGGGGATGGATGATATACGGAAGGCACAGATCCGAGAGCAAGATATGGCCGACCTTGTGTGCCATGAGCAGGACAGAATTAAAAGACTACCTTTCAACCTTATTGTGGAATCTCAAAAGTACGTTATGCTATCCTACAACGTTATCTCAGGGTGGTGTAAGACTAGCCCTAGATCAATCCGGCTGCATCTTTTTTGTTCCTGAAGACACTATCCGTCGGGACTACATCTCTATAACTGACGAGCAAAACCAGATCGCAATCGTGCGTGAGGGACACTGCAGGCGAACCATTGTCGCAATGGCACATGTAGATTCAAGCAATGAGTATCCGGTGACCTTTAGGCCCCCCAGATCAACCTCAGGTATATCGGTTCATTTTAGTTTTATCAAAGTTGTTTGGTCAAAACCTACGCGAGAGGAGGAAGGGAAACAGATCCGAGAGTGGGTAAAAAGGACGGAGCAGTTAGTAAGAAATAATTGGAAGGTTGTGGGTTTGAAAAATCCAACACTCAATAAGCACAAAAGAAAAACAATACCTTCAAGAATGCAGAGAAGAATCGAGAGATCGCGACGAAGACTTCGGAAGAAGAGAAGAAGGACAACTGACCATAACGAAAGATGAACATGAAATAGCTTTATGCGTCTCAGAGTATTGCTTCAAAGACTGGAGGAGTCAGCCTGCTTGCAAAAATGCATCTCCTGTTATCTTGTTCCCAATTTGCAATAGCAGTCTTGTCTTACCAATCATCTGGGAATTGTTAAGGAAAATCGGTGAAGTGATTACTTAGTTGTATAGAATATTGGGGTGTTTTTCACGCATTACTTGCCTTTTCTTCCCAGTCTTCTAGTAGACCAGCCGCTCAACCGCTTACCATAGCAGTGATGACAGCGTGGCGTCCTGGCGTATTGGATATTATATCATCCACGAGAGTCGGCAAGCATGGGAATACGTAAAGGAGGACAAATATACCAACAAATTTGGATTCGAGGGAAGACTCGAAGTGAGAGGAGAATAGATTTGATAGGTAATGTCCATGTGATTAAATAAAATTGAGCAAAAACACCCTTTCCCTTGTTCTTTAAATCAAGGCTTGTGAAACGCCATACCGCCATGCCCCCAACCAAATAAGTATCAAAAAAGGGTGGCAGGATATCTAATCGACATAAGGTTAGCTTACCATGGCATACTTTTCTTTTTCTGCATAGTTGGGGGCACATACCCTTCATCCATGCATTACGATGCTACTTTTGGTAGCCCTGCCCTGCTATGGCTTGAGCACGCAATATAACCAACAACTCCCGACCAGTAGATAAAGACCACGGTGACCACGCGGCGTTCAGTATCTGAAGATTGGTTTATAATGTGTTGGTCTTCCTATATATTAGACAACGTCCAAAGTTGAGTGTGCGGGATTTTCGTACCTGTTGAGTTTCTCGACCTTCGAATATGGAGCCCAGTCATTGCAACAGCAAGCACTTCTTGACAAATTTCCATCGTTCCTACAATCCTACGTTTCTCATCAACGGCCATACTTCTATTTCGATTGTCGCGTCCCGGTACTTCCATTGGGGGAAGGGACTCGAGCAATTTGGACGACGTGAAATATTTTGGTGTTCCAAGGTATCATCCATTCCCGGTATAGATTTCGTTCGGCATAGTTTTAAGAGCATTTCTCCCTCCAGGTCTCTCAATACATCAATACATCATCAACACACCTCGTTCCTCTCGCGCACCCTCGCGTCGATGAGAACCTACATCCTGCTGGCCCACGGGCTCATGTTCACTTCCTGTCGTCGCCTTTCGGCCTCTTTCAACTCCTTCAACTTGCGTTTCTCTTCGCGCTCGGCGTCTTTTCGCGATTTTTCGATGAACTTTTGGTAGTCGTCGCTTCCTGTCGTTTTGCCGGATTCAGGAGATGACATGATATTTGTCGTGGGTCCTTTGGTATCCATGGCATCGCCTTGGGTATAATGGGTTGTGTGCGAGTGTGCATCCATGGAGGTGCGGTGAGCCATACTCGAGTTGTTGGTGCTCTTAGAAGAGGACTTGGAGCGGAAGGACTTGAAAAGCATTTTGACTGATGTTTTTCTTTGTCTAAAGATGATATGGGTGGCGCTTGTGGGTAGGGAAGAGTTTGAAATGAGTCAAGAGTGATGTCGAGTGATATCAAGATTCGGTTTCAACGATAACTCTACCAAGGGGGAGAAAAGTGTGAGCGGTGAATGCTATTCAGCCTGACTGATATCTTTGATGTGGAATATCACGAGAAATCTCAGGAGAATTGCGAAATTCTTTGTTCTTTTTTTCTTCTGTTCCTACTTGATATCCTCCGCAGTGGGGCCGCTAGGGCGATCAAGTCTCTGCTCCTGTTTTTTCTCTCGTTTCTTTCTTGATAAACCCTTTCCAACGTTCCAATATTTTCTATTCCTTGGAGCAAGTACTATGTGCAAGGCGTTGAAGGTGTGATGTGTGGGCGAGGGCTGAAGATGAGTGTATTTGGCCAAGGGAACGGGAGGAAATCAGCCGGGCAACGCTTTCTTATATCTCCGTCCGCAGCTAAAAAGTTTATTGCGGGCACAACGAGTGACTGACCATTGAGACGGGATGTTAGTATCACCTCTTACTGTATCTAGCATAGATGGGCACTAAGGCTACGAGGCGCTCAGGTTATTGTTAGCGGGAGGAAAACCAGTCATATCCATCATGGTCTGGACTCCAACCAAGGAATATTTCTGGCAAACTACGGTGTGCGACCACATCGATCGTGACAGGTTGGCAGCTCGGCATATGATCAATTATCAACGAGACCTACTGTAGCTTCGGGTACAGAGTTACAAGAAAAGGGTGTACGGCGCGCATAGTTTTCCATATCAGGCTGTGGTAGGACCACTTTGCAGACTCTGTAGGAGCTCGTGAAGATTTGGTGGCCTATGGTTGGGGACAAGAGAATTTGACGACGTTGGTGGCGACAGGGATGCTGGGTATGAAGGCAAAGAAAACAAGGTTCATTCGAAAAAGTGACGCTCAATCTTGAGATGTGACAATAATGTGTTTTCCTCCAGTATAGAATGCTTCTAGTCATCGACAAGACGTCTACTTTGGACCTTCCGTATTAAGAAGAATGATTTGCCTTAACACCCCTTTCCTTGGCAACTCGAATGGAGTCGTTTTCCAGGATGGTCGCGTGGATATACTTCGTATTTACACCTGCATGGTCAATAATGTGATCTACTATCGGAGAAGCTCAAGTTTCGCCTGTCTGCGTGCCATCTAATGTATTCACTGTTGCATATCAGACGTGATCAAGAATAAGCGGACTTTACCGAACCTCCAATGAGAGATTCTGATCTTCTATTCGATAAAATGAAAAGGTTGCAAACTTTCGGATGGCTAGCAAGCCCAGTCCCAGCCAGCCCCCAATGTTACAGCATGCAAACCCCCTGAACCAAGCTCCTCGGGGGACGAGCGGCAAATCATCCTTCCAATGTCTGCGCCACGAGAAGGAAAAACTCCATACCTCATCGGAATACCGTCCAACCCTCGATACCTTCGTATCATGGTGCTTGTTGTAGTTTGACGAGAAGAATCGCGATGAAATTCGAGCGTGATGAGAGGCTTGTAGATGTTCTTTATGAGCTTGCCAGGAGACAATTCGTGAGTACAGGTCCGGGAGAAATTGGCTTGACGTCCTGCGCTGGCACATCGCGAGCGCTTACTTTCAAAGGCTGCAACAAAACTGACGATAGCGTCAACAGGATGTAAATGCATCAGACCCGCGAGTAGGGAGTGCTCGTAATAATGCAACATCTACTTCGGCCCTGAAGGGCCTTGCACTAACAAATTCTGCATCCTTCTTCGCGCTTTTTATGACATTTGTTCCCGTCGCCGTTTATGCCGTTGTGTGTATTGTGATATTTTTCGTACTTCGTCGAAAATATCCGCGGGTTTATTCCCCGAGGACATTTCTTGCGAGTTTGGATGTTGAGTAGGTTGTCCTCGAAAAATAGATATGAAAAGTTAATATGATGAAAATACCAAATAGCTAACACCCCAATAGTGACAGGTCGCCGGCGCTACCCAGTGGATGGTTCAACTGGATTAAGCCATTCTATGAAACTCCGGATACGGTAGTTTTAAATCATTCCTCTCTTGATGGATTCTTATTCCTTCGATTTTTGAAGGTTCTGTGTGTGATATGTGCAGTTGGATGTATCCTTACCTGGCCTACTCTTCTTCCATACCATGCACTTGGGGGAGGAAACAATACGCAGCTTGATCAGTTGACATTTGGAAATGTAAAAAATCCAAGTTGGTTTTATTTACATGCGTTTCTAGCTTGGTTATTTTTTGGTGCGGATCCCTTCATTTTTGAAGATGAGTTACTGATGATCCTAGGTTTCATCCTCTATATGGTTTCCCGAGAATGTGTTTCTTTCATCAGTCTTCGCCAGGCTTATTTGCTTTCGCCACTATATGCAAATCGACTTTCGTCACGAACTGTATTGTTCACCTGTGTTCCGCAGCAGATACTAGACGAAAGGAAACTTCGAAGGGTGTTTGGAGATAGTGTCAAGAATGTCTGGCTTCCACAAGATACGGAAGATCTGGATCTGTTGGTCAACGAACGAAATCAGACAGCCGCTCGACTGGAGAAAGCGGAAATACAATTGATCAGAAAGGCCAATGCTGCATACAGAAAGGCAGTTGCAAACGGGCATCCTGCTACTGGTTCGAGGCAAGAGCCTGCTGAAGGCGAAATGAAGAAAGGTCCGGACATGACAGTTACGGAGACTGCCAAAAGTTCAATTTCATCACCCCCCATCTCTCCAATGAGCCCAACAGCACCGACTCCTGAGACACCGGGCGAGTTCCATCGTTCAGAAGGAACACCAATTCTGGGCTCAGGATATAAGCCGGATGGTCCACCGCCGGATATCAATGGTTCGGTTGCTGCACAATGGATTCCATACAGCCAAAGACCAATCCATCGACCAATCGCAAATTACGGAAGAAGGGTGGATACAATCAAGTGGACTCGAAATCGATTGAAAAAGCTTGGTCCTGAAATTGGTAAACTTCGAAGCAAATACCGGAAGAGGAAAGGGATACCGATTCCTGCTGTATTTATCGAGTTTCATACTCAAGTCGATGCACAAAGTGCGTATCAAACACTTGCCCATCACCGAGCGAACCACATGAGACCAGAAATTGTTGGTGTTCGACCTGAAGAAATATACTGGCCAGCTTTGCGCATGCACTGGTGGGAAAGAATAATGCGAAGATTCTTGGTGCAAGGTTTTATTGCGGCAACGGTTATTTTCTTCGCTATGCCAGCTGCGTTGGTTGGGATTATCTCAAACATCAAATTTCTCATCGATAAGGTGTTTTTCCTAGCCTGGATGGCAAAATTACCATCTCCCGTGTTAGATTTAATATCCGGATTGCTCCCCCCAGTCGCTTTAGCGTTGCTCATGGCAGTTGTGCCAATGATTTTAAGAGGTAAGCTGTAGAAAGATACAATTTCTTACCTCATACTAATCATTATTAGTATGCGCTAGACAATCTGGTATTGCCACCGAATCTAAAGTTGAATTGTTCGTTCAAAGTGCATATTTCATATTCCAAATAGTACAGGTCTTCCTTATTACGACCCTCACATCAGCCGCTTCCGCTGCGATTCTCGATATCATCAAGAATCCTTTATCCGCAAGAGAACTCCTCTCTGCGAGTCTTCCAAAGGCGTCAAATTTCTACATCTCTTATTTCATTCTCCAGGGACTTGCTATGAGTGCAAATAGGATTGTCCACCTCGGTAGTGTTTTTCGACTTGTCGTCATGGCAAATACCGGGTTCAATCCAAAACTTCGATCAGCCAAGCACAACCGACTGAGAAAGATCCATTGGGGAAGTGTATACCCAGTTTTCACGAACATGGGTGTCATCGGTACGCCCCATAATTCTCTCTTCATGCTGGGACTCCTGTTAATCGTTGCTAGCAATCTCATATTCCCTTATCGCACCCGTCGTTTTGGGCGTTGCGACAATTGGGCTGTTCCTCGTCTACCTAAGCTACAGATGGAATTTATTATACATATATTCCTCTGAACGTGACACTCGAGGATTACATTACCCCCGGGCACTGAATCAATTGCTTACTGGAGTCTATCTCGCGGAGATATGTCTTCTTGGGCTGTTCGGTGTTAAGGGATCATATGGACCTTTGGTTCTGACATTTGGCCTCGTTCTCTTTACGACCTTGGTACACATCTCGCTCAATGATGCGTTAGGCCCACTAATATACAATCTCCCCCGGACTGTGGCAGCAGAAGAAGCCCTACGACAAGCCGGCAACAACCCAATCGATGCATCAAATCTCGCAGACAAGAACGATGCTTTCGAAGACCACGATACCGAGATGCAACAAGAGGTCGGCTACGACTCAGATTTTGACCCGTCCGATCCAGCTGGACAAGTCAGTCACGGAGTCCAAAGTTCACGCGGAATTAAAGACGTCGAAGGTGTAGAAGGAGCAGTGAAACTCGGAAGAACAACAGCATCGTCATGGTTGAAGAACAAATACACATCTTCGCCAATCCCTGCCCTCATATCAGAAATTGACTTCTGGACATACTGGATCAGTCCCAATCCAAACCAGAAACCTAATATAATCCTGAAATTTCTACACCCGGAAATCTTCCAAGATTTCCATATTTTGCGTCAACAAATTCCAGATGATCTTATCCCTGATCATGCTTATGAGGAGAGTGTGCTGAGGGATGCGTTCTGTCCACCTAGTATGAGGAATCGAGCCCCAAGGTTGTGGATTCCAAGAGACGAGGCCGGAATTAGCAGGCAAGAGATCGCGCATTGTGGGAAGGTTATTGAGATTACGGATCAGGATGCCTGGTTGACTGAGAAGGGGGCGGTTAAGGTTGATTGTGAGGGAGAAACTAGTAGATGGGTTGTTCGGGATTGGGAGAGGGTTAAGTTTTGATGTAATGACGTTACGAGCATGAATGTTTTGCTGCTTTTAGCGGCGAGTTGGAAAAGGTAATAACGCATTTTTGAATTTGAAGAGAATACGTAGGTTTCCGAATCCTCTCCATGGTTGAGCTCTACCTAGTCCCTCGACTAATCCCATGTAAGTTTCGAGTTTCATGTTCGTCGTGTCCACTTTTCCCCGTGATTTTTGGAAAGTATTTGTTAAAGTATATCTGTATGAAATCGTCATGGACTCTATCGCGAGAAGTGTTCAATCATAAAAACCTCCTATGCTGCAGTAGATCTTGGTGGGTTGGCGTGAGGTCGCGAGCCGGGTGGCCGGATGTTTCGGGTGGTTCGGGAAGGCTGACCCGGCGAGCTCGGGTGCCTTTATAAAGATAGTGGAATGTTATACGGCTTTGAAAAAATGTTAAACGGCTTTGAAGTGACATGGGCCCCCCGCTAGTTTACAGTGGGTGCCTGTAAAGCTGGTTCTTAGTTATATGTAGTCAATTAATTAGTTTATCCCGTAACTATATTAAGGGTATCTATAAACCTTATACTAGTATTAACCCTACACCTAACGCCACTACTACTACTATTACTACTACTACTAATTTAAAGCTATTCTTATTTACTAAGTTATATACCTTATTATTATACCTTTACTATTATATATTCTATTTATAAGTTAAATACTTTTATAGTTACTATTATATTATAATTATAACCTAATAAACGCGATAAGACTCCTATCTTTTCTACTACTCTAGGACTTCTAATATCGAGATTCTTTACTATTATAAAAGAGGGCTATATATTTCTAAAAAAAGAATAGTTTAAGTATAGTTATAAAATTACTATAACTTATGCTACTATTACTATATATAAGATACGTAATCCTCCTAAGCTAAACTAGGTCTAATCTACTCATAATAAGTCTTATACTCCAGAGAACTCTTCTAGTATAACCTTAAGCGTATACTCTTTTAAATATCATAACTACTAAGGTTCTAAAAAATAAATTATTCTTTTACTAATAAGTTAAGTATTAGTCTTTCCGAGTAAACTTTTTAATTCTAAGATAAATCTACCTTAATTTATAATTACTATAGCTAACTGTCACGAATCACGTGTTACCACGGGAGATAGTGAAGACCAGGCGGCGCCCTGACAGGTCGAGCATTATCATAACTCTTATAGCAGAAGGGGATCCTTAGGCTAGCTAAGCGATCCATGGATTTCGTCGGATTAAAGTACCACGTGACCATGATCGCTTCAGTCGCCTGAGTCGCCTGTCGACTGAAGCGACTGAGGCGAGCGACTAAAGCGATTAGACAGAGAACGAAGGTTCTATATAAGACTGGCACGTCTGCCATTTAGATAGGAGCTTCGTGCTCAACTTAGTTATCAATCTTATCATATTAGTTTGACATCTTTGATACAAGTAACGAGTTCACTTCCAAGTGAACAACCCGATAGTCTTCTTCTTATCATAGCATACCAAC